TTGATACAAGACCCAACCTTCAAAGCTCATTGTCGATTCGGCTTACCAGAAAAATTGGGCAAAGTGTGGAACAATTCATGTCAGAACAAGGGTCTTTTACACACCATCTTCGCCCTCCCCCCTCCTGTTATGTTTGGTGACTTTTCTTGCAGTTGTGGCTATGGAGGATTTGGCTCTTGGTGGATTGACTCTGCGCAATATTCTCAGATCTAGTTTTTGGTTCGGGTGCATCTTTCAGTTTGGTGTAATGGCTTCCCTTCCGGAGGAAGCTGCGGTGGTGGTTGGTTTTTGGCTCCTGAAGCTTAGGGTTTTACTGTTTATTTCTTCTTTTGTAGCCTATGGGCCTAAATCTGTGTAGGCCTCCCTTTGTGGTTGAGGTTGTAGCTCTTTTGTTGGGCTTGTTTTATTGCGCTCGTTTTCTATTATATGTTTGCTTTGTTGTGTAGGACTTTGAGCTCTTTTTAAGTTTAGGCCTTTCTAAGCACAAATTGTATTTCCCTTTCATTAATGAAGCTTCTTTTTGTCCAAAAAAATAAAGTTAAGCAATATTTTGTCTAGTACTGTGCTCGGTAAACCAGGAAATTAAGCAGGATCAATTTCTCCACTCTCACTCTCTCACACTCTCACACTTTCTTATAAAGTGTTGTACATCTCTACCATTTCCAAGCGGAAAGTAGTTCATCCATATCCAAACATGCAACAAGACTAAAAAAATAGTTTTTATCACAAATGGTCTTTGAAATTGACCCACTATATGGTCACTGAAATTGAAATTAGATCATTGTAGTCACTAAAAATGAGCGTCAAAAATCAATGAGGTCCTTCTGTCAGTGTCACAATTTTGTCAAAATTTATGTTATGTGCTGATGTGACAAATAACTTAGCCCTACATATCTAATTAAATGTTTCCATGTGGATTAAAAGTACTAAAATTATAAGAAAAACAATTTTTATTATTGTATAATTAAAAAAAAATAAAAAAGGAGAAAAAAAAGGAAGATGTTGATCTTCTTCCCCTTCCACCTTCAACGTCGATCCATTTCGTTAATGTCAAATCCTGACCTGGGTCCCTATCACATCCTGGGCTCGACTCCACCATAGCACGATATTGTCCGCTTTGGGCCCCTACCACACCCTCACGGTTTTGTTTCTGGGAAATCACATAAGAACTTCCCAATAGGTGAACTATCATGGGATTGCTCTCGCGTCCTACTTGCTTAACTTCAGAGTTCCGATGGAACCCAAAGCCAGTGAGCTCCCAAAAGACCTCGTGCTAGGTAGACATGAGAATATACATATAAGGCTTACATGATCCACTCCTCTGGGCGATGTGGGATCTTACAATCCACCCCCCTTAGGGGCCCGACGTCCTCGTTGGCACACAACCAGCCAAGGATTCGCTCTGATACCAAATTGTCACATCCCTGCTCGGACTCCACCGTAACACGATATTGTCCGCTTTGGGCCCCTACCACATCCTTAAGGTTTTGTTTCTGGGAAATCACATGAGAACTTCTTAGTGGGTCACCTATCATGGGATTGCTCTCGGGCGCTACTCGCTTAACTTCGGAGTTCCAATGGAACCCAAAGCCAGTGAGCTCCCAAAAGGCCTCGTGCTAGGTAGAGATGAGAATATACATATAGGGCTTATAAGATCCATTTCCCTAGGCGATGTGGGATCTTATAATGTGGATCTTACAGTTAAACACTCAATAATTTTATAGTGAGATGTGGAATGACATAATAAGTGGGCAGAGTTTGATGACAAACGAGTAACCCTCAAATCAAATCTCAAACCGGAAAGGGATCCTCTCAAGGTTCCTTCCACTAAATCCATCTAATCACTTAATCCAGGTCTTTGAAATTTGATATAACAGCTAAAGTTATTATAACTTTTAAAAGGGCCTCCTGTTTGTAGCCGTTAGATCAAGTTTCAGGGTCCGGATTGATTGATTTGGTGGAAAGGATCCAAAGATGATGCCCTTCCTCTCAAACCATCTCTTGTTTTCTAATCGGCACCCTGTCTTTTGACCCATAATCTTCACTCTCTACTCTCCACTCTTTAGAACTCTACTACCATTATCCATCCCAAGCATTGGCACGATCTAGTACAATCGGAGAACGCGTCCGTATAATCTTTCAGGAGGCCTTCGTCTGGGTGAGGAAGAAGTTCATCATCTTCTATTTAAAGTTTTTCCTTTTATTTTTTTTAATTATACAAAAATAATAATAATTTTTTATTATTTAAATATTTTTAATTCCCATGGAAATATTTAGTTAGACTCGTGGGACCCAATTATGTGACATATTAGCACATAACAGAATTTTTGATAGAATGACTACATTGATATACGACACCCATTTTGAGAGAATATTGATCGAATTTCAATTTTAGTGACCATCTTGAAAAGGTTGGTCTATTTCAGGGATCATTTATGATAAAAACCCTAAAAAATGTAACCGCGATTGTTAAATTCTCAAGTTGCACACACAGACACACAACACAGCGTTTAAAACTGGCGAAATGGGTATCTTTGCTATGTTTATGGGTCTCCGTAAACCCAGATTATCCAACTTAGGACACCATGCAATCATGCCAAGTTCTCTCTTATGCTAATTAATAATAAACTTCTAGCTTCCACACCATGCCTCACTTGAGAAAGCCATTATTTGCTTAATCATGCTATCTTTGGGTCATTGATACAACCGGGATGTTTCCTAAGACGTGTTAATTCTTTCGAGATATTCCGAGACTTGGCACGAAAGCAAACCAAGGAAGTAAATGAGTACTCGCAAAGCCTAAGTCCGCCTTGACCTAGAAGTTCTCCAACCCTCAAAAGTATGATATGATAGACAAGTAATCTTTTATTCAGACAATTCTATGGTTGGTCAATGTTCAATGAACACAATCTCATGGATGAGCACCTTTATGTCTATTTCATGTCACTATATACTTAGTTTGAGACCCATTATTGAATACGATTTAAAATGGCTTTTGCGGATGTTTGATAGTGCATTTGATCATCTTATGCCTAGGAACATAATTTATAACTTAAGATCCTTAAAGTACGTATTTCGGGCTTGGAACCTTCTTTACAATCTCATCTTTCCGACTGAAGGTATTCCTCTAACTCATCCTCATCACTAATGGACCTTTCTAATCTGCTATTAAGTCATGTGCTCAATTGATGGACGTTCTCATTTATCCTTGTCGTCGATGACTCAACATTTGGTTGCCATGAATAAAATGTACTTGTTTCTGTATCCATCACTAACTCACAATTAAGCTTTTCAAAACCCTAGCTACCTCCTTTTGGATTATGAGACCTAGTACAGCTTCTCTCTCTCTCTCTAACTTCCAGACAAAGTTATTAATTAGAGAATATTAATAATGGACTCATGATGTTTTAATCTTGTCTTGTCTGTTCATAATTGAAGGCTTGAAGCTCCCAGTGAGAACACCCTTTTGTTTTTGGTAACTGGGTGGGTGGTACACTGGTACTTACGTACAAGCTATAGTAGTGTCCAAAATTGCTAGATCATACTTTGAATTATTTGTAGTAAAATCTAATAACATATGCCTCAATTAGAAGATACGTCAACCATTTATGTACACATAATTGAGTACTGGTATCCAAAATAATGGCTAATTAGAGGAAAAATTATTGTGTCATATTGAAAAATTGTCATGTAATATAATTATTTTCAATGATAAAATATGAGTGGACTGAAACTTTATGTTTTAGCATACAATATCGATCTATATGTCCTTACGTACACAAAGTCATTATATCACATAAGGGTGATCCGTTCCATACAATAATCTCCCGTTTCATGCAATAATTTGTTTAACACTATACGAGGTGTTTGTTTGCAGTTGGGGAGTTTTAAAGTGATGTGTGGTTATCTTTGGTTTTAAAAGGGACATTTCATGGGAAGGAACGGACAAAGCTACTGTGAGTGACAGACTCCCCACTGTTACTGTTGTTAGTACTGACTCAGCCTTCTTTCTACCCTTACTCGCTATCACTCTTTTAGCCTACATTCTATCATATCACATCCCAAAGCATAGATTTCATTTCAGAGTAGAATTCTCTCCTTTCATATTTTCATCTCTTTCTTTCATATTTTTTATTTTTATTTTTTTTATAAAAAATTAATATAAAATATTGACGTGATTTAATCGTGACCGTTCAAATAGAAGAAGAGAAAAAAGAAGGAAGAAAAAGAGGAGAAAAAATCGTAATCCTTTCATTTCACCATCAGTTTACTCACCCATGACACGATGACCCATACCCATTCATGTTTCATCAACCAATAAGTAATTAATTAATCATATTTTAACAGTTTATTGGCAAGGCAATAATATAATGTTACATAGAGAAATAAGTCTCTCTCGTTGTCTATTCCCGCCCCGCCACGCTCTTTCTTGTTCTCTCATGAGTTAATTAAAGTGCCTTTAATTACTATTGTTAATCAAGTTTACATTGTCGTTTAAACATAGCGGTAAATTTACCACTCATATTTCTTACTAATTCGGAACACGCCTTGTTGTGTTATACAATTTCATTCAAATTATAAGAGGTCTATTAATTTTTATTTACAATAATTTAAAAGTAGCACATATTAACATTGTCATTTACTCATTTTATAACGTGAAATGATACATTACGTAATAAGTATTTTTGGTACGTGTAAAAGTTTTTTGTTTACTGTGCAGTCATATATAAAAGTAATTTTTTCTTTTCACACAATGTAAAAACATGACACATGCACAGTCCACTCCGAAAATGAAGAAATTTTTCATTGTCACAAGGTGATACACCACATGTTTTTATGTAAGTGGTGAGAAATTTTAGTTTTTAAATTATTAACTTTTTAATACACATATCTCACAATTTGTATAATGACACGTGGTATATCCGATCATACTGAAAAATCTCTCTCTCGAAAATGAGACGATTATTTTGAATTTGTGTGCTGTGTCACATTTTCCATCTCTTCAAGCATCAGGAACCGATCTATCCAAATTGTTTTGTTCCTGTTTTGTTGTTTTGGTTGTGGATGTCTTTTATTCTGCCAGCTGCTGATCGTTTCTTCTCAGATCATCTTACTCGTCTCTTCTCCCTCTTTTCCTTTGTCCTCTTCCTCCCCACCTGCATCTCTATATATATAGAAATAGAAACCGACTTCTTTTTCTACTGTAACTCTCTCTCTCTCTCTCAGCTTTATTTATTCCATCAGATCTAGCTTCTAAAACCCACCTTATTACATATATCAAATTTTCTTGTTTTTCTCCCTTTGATGGAGATCACAAGCACTCTTAAACATTCAACATCCATCTCCTTCCTTCCCCTTTCTCTCTATCCATTTCCTGCATGAAACCAATGAATTGACTACAACTTTGCTCTACCAAAGGAAACTAATTAAACCACTACCCCAGAAAACAACACAACCCACTCCCACAAACTAATCAAACATTTCTCTAAAACACAAAATGATGTCCTCAGATACCGCACCGCCGACGAAGCCAAAACACGACGAGAACCCAACAGGGGGCTCAGGCAGCAGCCGGCCGAAAGCCACGTCGTCATCATCATCGGGGCCAAAGCTGCCACCACCAGAGCAAGCCCTGAACTGCCCGAGATGCGATTCACCCAACACCAAATTCTGCTACTACAATAACTACAGCCTCACGCAGCCACGCCACTTTTGCAAGACTTGCCGGAGATACTGGACCAAAGGCGGCGCCTTACGCAACGTCCCCATCGGCGGCGGCTGCCGGAAGAACAAGAAAATTAGGTCCTCCTCATCTTCCAATTCCAGGCTGTCCTGCAGCTTCGACCCATCAAAAGACTCGGCCGGCTCTTCCTCCTCAGAGAATATGATGCTCGGCGGCTTGAAGTTCTTCCACGGCATTTCCCCCGCTATGGATTTTCAGCTCGGCAGCATATCTAGGCTCCATAATAGCAACCAGTTCTCTACAAACCTAGCAACTGGGATAAATTTCAACAACCCATTTCCAGCTTTCGGAGACGTTTCGGGTACTTCCGGATTGAGTACTAGTACTCTTGAGCCATCATCCGGCGGTGGGACAAACGCTTGTAATAATTCTTTTCTGGGTTTTAATTATCCGCTCACTTTGGGCGGCCGCGGAGGCAGTGCTAGTGGTAGCGGTGGGTTAATTAGTGCACAGAATATGATGAGTGCAATGAACGTGCACAGTAGCCTTGCGTCTTCAATCGAGTCTTTGAGTTCTATTAACCAAGACCTTCACTGGAAATTGCAGCAGCAGAGGCTTGCCATGTTGTTTGGTACGGAAGAACATGACCAGTCAACTCAGTCTCAGCTTGAAAACCAGCAGAAAACGCAGCAGATGATTGCACCCATAAGCTTGTTTCAGAATCTGGAGGTTTCATCATCCCCAAGACCTGATCATCATCAAGGTGTAAGTCATGGAAGAAAAGAAGGTGGAGATACTGCCACCGAGTGGTTCTTCGGGAACTCTTATGCACCAGCGGTGACTCAGACTCCAACAAACAGCGGTGGTGGTGGCGGCGGCGGCGCCAGCAATGAGAACGCAAGCAACTGGCCTCATGGAATTCCAGCGTGGAGTAGTCATGATTGGCAGCAGTACAATGTTTTGCCCTAGATCATGAGAGAGAGGTAGATGACAATTTGAAAGCATGATAATCAGAAATTAATGGGGGAAATTCTATTAATTTGTTTAAGAAATTATCCAAGAACTAAAAACACAATTTGGCATATGTTTCTTTTGATGTTGTTTATGCTGGGGTTTATTCATATGCAAAACTGTAAAAGTAAACTGGTAACAAAAGGGGAATGAACAGTAAAGCTAGAGAGACTAAATTTGTAAACTAAATGATGTGTCATTAATATGAATAAGCACGTTTATTAATATTTTAAATAATAAATCAATTATCAACTTTTATGTCCTTTAACTTTCAAAATTTTGTCTCCAAATTTATTCTCTCTATCATTATCCAAAAAGAAATAGTATGTTTTGACCTAATTTCAAGATTATATTTATTTATTATTATCCAGTATTTAACGTAATGATGACCAATGACCCAAAAAAAGCGGTGCTCAAATGTGTGGATATATATGTTCATGGTAGTTTCCCCATTTTCTTATGCACTTTACAATAGATTGAAAGAAAGATTGTTGTTCGTAATAACAATAAATACAGTAGCTACCCATGAACTGAAAGCAATTTTAAGCTGGCCTTGCACCAAAATGCAAGAAAATCTACTGTTTATTTCTATATATATCTATACTATATATTAAGAGAACACACCTTGTGAACCTTTTTGCTCACTTTTTTCAATTTTACCCCTCACTTTTGAATACACAATGTTGAGATGAGGAGGGCAAAATAGTAATTATATATCTTTTGACAAAATGATAATCATATCCCCTTTTTTTTTTTTTTTTTTTTTCTATTTTGCCTTCACTTTTAATACACAATATTTACATAAATAGGGCAAAATAGTAATTTTGTATCATAATATTTACATAAGATAAAAATATGCACTTATTAAGAAAAATTGTCCCACCATCATTTTTTACACAGGTAAGTGAAATCATGATGTTTTTTGAATAGTTTGAATGAACTGAAGTCGTTGAGCTTGAGGAGAACATAGGAGGAGGTGGGCACTTGCGGTTGCGCTTGAGAAGAACGTGGACGGACATGGGTGGTTGTTCACACACACAAAGTGTATGCTCTCTGCTAGTGTAGATTGAAACAAATAAATTTGTTGTTGCCTAATTAAGTTTCTTCGAACACTTAATCAAGGAATGATTATGAACATAATAGAATTATATGTACATGAGGTTTTTCAGTACCTTATGAATTCTTTTGGCAATGATGTGGTAATTAAACATCATTTAGGGTTTAAATTGATCTCATTGATCAGTACTTAATATACTAATTCAGTTAAGAAGGGGTTAAGTTTCTCCCCCTTGTCTCAAAATATTAACCCCATCGGGATCTGTGTATGTAGATTTTGGGGTGTTATTAAATGGGACTTAATGCCATATCTTTGATTTGTTTTATGTTCAGTCAGCGTCTACAACTCTCACTGTCTAGTAAGTAAGTGTGTCTTTCTCTCTCCCGTAGATTCTCTCTCTTTCTCTCTAGACATCTCTATCAGTCAAGGAACTGAGTCTCAGGCTCCATCTTCATCTCTCTCACTGTATGGAATATAAGGGGCCACCTAGTTAAAGCCTCCATGGTCGGGCCTCTTCCTAGCTCTGCAACTGTTGCAATGTGAGGCAGCCTGCCTGCTCTCTCACTCTCTCTCTCTCTCTCTATAGATCTGTTGCTTATTGGGGTTGCGTTTGTAATAATTAGTATGGCAGTGTGGTGTGATTTGGTGCTGTCTGAAAAAGTGGTGGTTTGAAAGTGTATTCAATGAAGGACTGTCAACATTTGAATCAACCAGAGAGAGAGAGAGATAGAGAAAAGTGCTTAGGGTTCCCTTTTTTTGGTTTAAAAAAATATAATTCATGTGTAGCTTTTTGGAACAACTCCACCGTTGTAAAAGTCTTTTAAGTCTATTTACTATTTAATCTACCTAGTGAACAGTAATTGTTTTTAATGAACAGTTTTAATGAACAATAATTACTTTTAATGAACAGTAACTACATTTTGCATCTCTATCCCTACATTGAATAACTCTGACAATAAATAATAAAATATTATTTTTTTAATTTATAATTAATATTATATTATTTACTTTGTATAAATTAATATTATATTATTAATTTATTTTTTCCTTCTAGAAATCTCTTCCTATCTCTCGAAACTTCTACCATTTTTGTTTCTTCTTCCTTCCCACTCTCTCACTCCCCTCTCCCTCATTGTCTTCCCTTTTTTCTCCGGCCGACCGTCTCCCTCCCCACTCTCTTTTTCTCCCCCATTTCTCCCTGTTTTCTTCCTGAAAGGAGGAAGCTATGGATTTTGCACTTGATTTGGATCGAAAGACCAGCAGGTCTTTCTTCTTGTTCCTCAAAGCAGAGAAAGAGCACTGCAAATTCGAAATCACAAATTAAATTTCTACTATAATTTATGTTTTACAACTCCAAATTTGATTTCCTTTTTTTCCTACAAATTGCTGGAGAAGAGCACTGCAAGGTAATTGACTTTTGGGTTTACAACAGATTTTGATATTTTGTGTAATTCGGATTTAAAAGCTTTAATCTTTGAATTGAAGTGTTGTTCATGGTGGATTAAGCTTATTGGAAGCTTAACTAGACGAGTTCATCACTGAAGCAAAGAAGGGGTTGGGTTCGCGGGACGGAGATCGGCGAGAGCTGTTTCTGATTTGATGACTAGAAAAAGGGTTGCAGCTCATATACGAAGGAGAAGGCAAGATTTGGTGACTCAGACTCCTATCTAAGGCAGTCTAGTCCAGTGAGATTTAAAGAAGCCAAACAAACATGCCTTTAATGGTTAAATTTTGTTCTTTTCGCTGTGCATGCTTTCTGTTTCATTTTTCCAGAATCCGGCGAGCTCTGTGACCAATCTCGACCACGATTGTTACTTAGAATCTTGTTCCTTTTCATTTTAGCATCATTTTTGTGCTTAAATTACAATTTTTAATGGAGTTTTAAGTCGAGATCGGAATCCGGAGGAATCCGTGCCAAATATTCCAGTGTTTTCCCTCGAGGATTCAGTTGACCCATGTTTAAAATTGTGGCTGACGTCACCCTGACGTTAGCCTTGCATCATTTACGCCTTAGGCTCTCGGACGGTTGATTCCTTCCTAGCCTGTCCACGGGGCCTCCCTCGAGCCCTATCGCCTACATGGACTGGAGCTGCTAGCTGGGGCAATTGGGTTGAAGCAACAGCTGGCCCACCGGGCTATTGAATATGGTGGAGCTGCTCTTAGAGTGTTGGACATCAACCTGTTTCCTCCATGCTAATTGTTGTATACTATGGAGTAAAAAATCTCCATCTCTCTTCCTCAATCCTCATTGAGATCCTGTTTCACTTCATTTTCATTTCATGAGAGAAAATTTTTAATGTACCAGAAATATGTTTTAGCATTATAAGTGTTGTAGTATAATTAGTTTAATTTTATTTTTTAAATTTTCAACTAATTGTATCATTACATTTAGAGAGATTATATTCACACACCCTAAATTACTTATCTCACACCCTTTTAATTTTTTAATATTTTCTACACACCACTAACACTTGATAGAAAAACTTAAAAAATTAAAAGGGTGCAGAAGAAGTAATTTGGGGTGTGTGAATGTAATTTCTCTACATTTAATGTACTAGACTACATTTGATGTACTACGAGAAATTTTTAAATGTAACGGAAAACGGGTGGTACACCATGTGTTTTTATGTAAGTAGTGGAAAATTATATTTTCTATTAACTTTTTGACACACATATCCCACTATTTATGTAATGACACGTAGTGTACTATTCCATGTGACGGTTGTGGGGCCAAAAATATGCACAAGGCGGCACGTGGATTTTTGGATGAAGAAGACCAAAATACCCTTCAGGCATATTAGGATTTCTACGCGCGAGTAACGAACAATCATCCTCAACCAAGTCATAAATGCCCAAAAAAGGTAACAATTCAAAAATTCATCTCATCAAATCCTTCAACAAGGTAATCCCTAAAATTTATTTCACCCCATATATCTTTTACCTAATTTCCCTTTTTTAGCTAAATCAATTAGCTAATTATTACATAACCTAATTATCTATTTATTCTAAATATTCTATAACCACCAAAACATTCCCCTTATGTTTAATTAACCAATTAATACCTATTAAAATTGGCTAATTAAACCAAAATTAAACGCAAAAACCCACCTAATGGCCGGCCACTCTTTCTCCAAAAAGGACCGGCCTATCCCTATAAATATGCTCCTATTTTCACCAAAAGATCATTCCACACTCTTGCCAAAATTCTCCAAAACTCTCAAACACTTTTCTTTCTAAATTCTAACTTTGGCATCGGAGGTTCTTCGGCCAAAGCCCACCCCCATTCATCGTGGGCGCGTGAGGCTCTTGGCCTTGACCTAAGGTGTTGTTTGTTTTGCAAGTGCAATTTTGTCTAAGATCAAGGAGGAAGAAATTTGCATCCACAAATTGGTGCTTTCATTGAGAGTTGAGACCCATACTCGTAGAAGACTCTCGCGTAAAAAGATTTTTTCTCTATTTTTTCTATTTTCTAGTCCCCTTGTATTTTTCATATGTTCTTATTATTAGAATTTTTTATTTGCAAAGATTCTTTGATAAAACGTAAAAGAGGAATATAATGGCTAGAAATTTAGAAAATTCCACAAGTGAAAATTCCAATACTCAAGAAATGGGAATGCGGCGATCCGCGAGGCTAAATGTGGTCATAGGCAGAGTGGCACCACCACTACGAGGTTCCACCATGGCCCAAGCCGTGCCATCCAAGTTTGCTTGGGCCCGATCCTAAGCCTCGCACTCACGTACGCCACACACCAAGCAGCGCACTCTCGTGGCCCAGCTTGCTCCTGCCAAGCAGCCCACTCTCTCGGCCTAGCCTGCTCCCACTGAGTAGCCCATTCTTGTGGCACAGCTTGCTCTCGTGGCACAACCTACTCCCGCTGAGCAGCCCACTCCTATGGCCTTTTTAGCAGCCCAAATCAGTCCAAGATTAGTTCAACCATTACGAGGCTAAATGTGGTCATAGGTAGAGTGGCACCACCACTACGAGGTTCCACCATGGCCCAAGCTGTGCCATCCAAGCTTGCTTGGGCCCGAGCCTAAGCCTCGCACTCACGTACGCCACACACCAAGCAGCGCACTCTCGTGGCCCAGCCTGCTCCTGCCGAGCAGCCCACTTTCTCGGCCCAGCCTGCTCCCACTGAGTAGCCCATTCTTGTGGCATAGCTTGCTCTTGTGGCACAACCTACTCCCGCTGAGCAGCCCACTCCCATGGCCTTGTTAGCAGCCCAAATCAGTCCAAGATTAGTTCAACCATCCCGACTCCAAATTTTCGAACCGAGGATCGAACCGGGAGCATTTTCACCTCATTTTTCTGCGGATATGACATTGCCCAACTCGAATCTTGTGCCCGGAGTCTACCATACTTCCACTGCTTAAGGAGATGCATTCCTTCCAAACTCTTCCAACCCAAATGGAAAACAACACATGTCACAACAAGTCATATAGTTGACGAACGCCCTAATACAGCAGACGACCTTGGTGAACCAACTCTTGCAGCGCACCGAGATACAACGTGCCCAGACGAGGTGTCCCAAAGTAAGACAAGGGCAGATGAAGAACCTCTCCAGCAGCGTCCTAGCAAGCTGCCACGAACCGAGCGTTCGGGTAGTGTACACTCCTGATTGGGCCCCCAAGATAGCGTATACTTCCGTCTTAGTACGCGGAGAAGCGTGTAGTCTAGACTAGGCCCATAGATGAGTATACATTTACGGTTAGGGTCACACTCCGATAGTCAACATAAGCAGCCTTCCAGGTGAAGTGTTCATTCATGACTAAGCTCGTAAAGAGCATCATCCACCTCGCATCAGAGTAAGCAGAACGACGGACGGAGAGAAACAGTTACTCAATCCGGCACAAGTTTAATTGGTAAGCCTGCGAAGAACTCGCTCACCTGCTAGGAACGTACCACATTTACCGCATTTGCGGCATAAACGAGCCAAACATATGGAAGAGCAGCCTAGACTAACAAGTCACGGCTGGGGGCAGCCGAGAGCTCCAC